CGAAGGTGAATCTACTCATCTGTAAACGGTACAGTCTAACAGCAAAGGTATCAGATCACACTTACTGCTCTAATTATTTCACAGGCTTGAGTTCTATGTACGGGTTTGAATCCCCATAACGTTTGGGAACTAGACACAGTCGGTATTAACCGAACACCTCAAACCTGCCAAATATTAAAATTTTAGGCATTTAACTCTCTCCCATGTTGCAGTGAATCAAAGGAAATCTGCTGCGTTTGGTTACAAAATATTATCCGATCGGAGCTGTAGTCGTGATTCCGAAACTCATTTGATGGAACAAGTACTGTACAGAGGGATAGGCAATATCTGTGCATGGGTTCCAGCACCACCGAGATCCGTAGTCCTTTGAAATGCATCAAACCTTATTCAAAAAATAAATGCTTACATTATTCAGTCACTTTATCACGTGAAAGTATCCTTTTATTCACGTCCAAATTGTATTCGACATGTCCTTCAAAAAGGTCATCTAAAACAGTCCAACGTAGCTGAAAATCGCTTTTCCTCGTTTTATTGAGTATACTTACAACTGTTTGGACTTCAACCACGAATTAATCGGATAGATAGTATGTCCTGGTTTGGCCTTTTTTCCCCTGCTGATTAAACCCGATTCATTTCGAAGTATTGTTTCCATGACTGACCGGTGAGAAGCAATGAACTTAAGTACCGTATTCACTCACAACTAGCGCATTTCAAACAATTCGTGAACAAAATTTTCCCGAGGGATCCCAGGTTTCCAAATTAACGTTTTGCGAAATTTGTTGTGGGTAAATTCTTCATAGCCAAAAGGGGTGTGTAAAAGTCACCGGAGAGCTGTTTGTTCCTTGTCCGGACTCATTACGGATTTTGAAGGATTTCGACGTCCTTCCTGCTACTGGTATGGCTATTATCCGGGAGAGGGATTGAAAACTCATCTTTTACCTACGGGGTCAGAGGCGAATAACCGAGGGTTTGGTAATTTGTTTAGATCTTTTTGCTTTTAACCCCAGGGGAATTCGCATAGACAAGGTTTGTGTGTTGTATCGTTGTCTTGGTGATGGTGGTACTCCATCTGAGTACAGTTATTTTCCACATCTCGATATTCACTAATTGATATTATATTTAAACCAATGACTGATGATGACCAGTTAACAATGCACACGTTCATCATTTGGTTGCTGTTATCGCTGCCGATCTGATTCGCCAATCCTAAAATGAGTACCCTATGGTAACAGCCAATCACGTTAAAAATGAATCCCATCATTATCACCATGACAACATACTCACGGTTCCTGAGGGCATGAATACTCAGATGAATACGGTTTTTAAAGCTGAAAGTATTGTCTCATGAGCAATAAACGTGAACAAGAACACCAAACGAAACAGATTCACTCAAATACGTCACAATGTGTATGGCATGAACTGTCATTAGTCCTTGGCCGAAGAATACAAACTCTAAAGTGAATAAGGGATATCCGCACCACATGTCTCATGCGGGTCACCGTGATGATAATGACAGGTCGATAAACTAGCAACATTGAGTACCCATTATGTGAATCCGCGCAGTTCAACATTACGCTGTCAGATGTAGGGTTTGAAACGCTGACCAGTGGTTCTTTTTATTGCCCTATTCAATCGGATCCATGTGATGGAGCCGTAGTTCGAACGCGGAACTTTCGCTGCACTGTGATGCTGACCTTCATACCATCGTAGATCACCGTTACACATCCGTGCCAATCCGAACTCCAAATGAACCGACTACTCAGGCTCCTTAAGCCTAAGCACGCTCCATACAACGAACAAAGTGAAAACAATGTTACCTCTCAACCCCACATACCCCACAGTTAGATATTAAGCGAATGAAGCTGTCAGGACAGTAACCATCACGTCCTAAATTAAGAATACTATGTCTCCATAGATTTAGAAGTTTTTCATCAGGTGAACTTTCATATGGGCGAGGATTGACACTTTCAATTTTCATTTGGTTCGATTTCTAGTCAGATGATAAATTTTTGATAATATTATTAATAATAATAAAAAGTGAATGCTTTGGAATGCTCCGCGTTTGGTACATTGTTCCTTTCATCCAGTCAACCATACAATCGGAAACACTAGACTTGAGCCTACCGTCCCAACCGGACTTTGAACTCCGGACCCATCCCATGTAAGGCGTGTGCTTTACCACTGTGCCAACCAGCTAGTGCCAGGGCTGAATCAAATTGCCAATTCATTTTTGTTCATGTGTCGTCTTGGAGTTAACACATAGTCAACTGTGTCTCTCTTCGTTTCTGTCGGGCTCGCGGAGGATGCTGTGTTTTTATATTTTGATAAATCGGAATGCTAAAGATAGCAACTGTTTTCCGATTCTTTTTAAGGCTACCCAGACGTCGAAATTTTCTTTTAAACTACCACTATGCTGTTTGAGAAATTCAACTGTCACCTTATATCGACCAGTGCGTTCGATTTAAGGCGCATTCATTCGCTTTCACTGAAGACCATCATCATCATCGAATCTCTCTCTCTCTGACCATTTCAGAATCGATGGCCCTTGACAATCGTGGATCAAAACCGATCGAGTGCGTCCCAATGGACAAGCACACACACACATATATATATATATATATATATATATATATACACGAACGATCTTCGAACCAAAAATAGCACAACAGCCGCTGCGGTTGTCAAACTGGCTGGCTCGCGAATGCGCACTGGAAAAAATACCAACATCTGTCATGTACACACCGGTACAATGGGCTCACTTCCGGCAAATCTGTTACGTATGTGTGCCCATCATGAGCCGATTGCCTTCACCCGGAGACGCAAACCCCCAAATCACGGATTAGTTATCGGAAAGAATGAAGGTGTTCCTCTTCCTCGCTTCCTCTCTCTCTTTGTGGATGTTATAAGTTTAGACAGCTATTTCTAATCATACACTTAGACAAAAGTACATGAGAACAAAACAATAATTGTTTATTTTGTTTTTTATCTGGTTCAAGTAAAATGGTTGAGTGCATTGCTCTTCATCGGTTTACCTAGCGACTCGGAGGAATCGCATCAACTATATGCGATCGTTGATTGTTGGAAAACTGCATCAAGTAGGCGAAAAATTACAATCGCAGAAATTGAAGATCATGAAACTAGAACTGATAAATAAGTTGGGAGATTCACCATCTTGTCTCCCTTAGAGGAGAATGTATTTGTCATCATCATGGTTTGAATCCTGAAGGGAGAAATCAACTGGTAAGCACCGAATTACGTATATTTAACGGACTCGTTCTAACACAAACATTGACCTTCAACAAGAATGAACGCTGTTCACTGAAATCCCTTATCTTTCACAGATGCACATGGTTAAAAAGCCAACCAAAACCGAGTTTCCTCTACCTAATAGTATTGATGCGTGGGATACACAGCCCTAGGGGACGCTGTCAGGTGTCTGAATTCAAACATGCTCCACCGACAACAATGACGAGTTGATTCCTAGGGGAATTTGAAAGCCTGGGTGTGCAGGGATGCTACTGAGATTAGAATATGTGTGCCCGTGTCCACATCTGTTCTGTAAATTTCGTTTCTTTTCCTTGTCTTACAGGTCTGTGCTGTATTTTCCACCCCGTCCCTTGCCCCCTCCCAAACAAAAACGAACTCTGAGTCTCCCATTGTCTCACATCCCAGGGCATTCCTCGTGACCTCTATTTTCATTAGGCTTCTTATCCTCCCGAGTCAGGAGAAATCCCACTGTGCATCCGTGTTAATTCCAGTCAGACTGGAGTGCCCCGGGGTGCCTTCATATCACACTTTTTGGTTCCAATAGATAGTGATTTAACTTTTCTAAAGATAAGACAGATATTTTGTACTAGATCCATAAAATCTACACATTTTAACCAGATACAACCAAGCTTTTTCGGCTTCACTCAAACCACCAGGGGACCTGTTTCTCATGGCCTCATATCCTGGTTGTTTTCCTCGAAACGAATTGTTTTTATTCGCTACAGAAGCCAGCAAACAGTGCGACGTACCATGCTTAGCGAACAAATTAGGTGCATTTTGAAACAGGGAGTATTCGACAAGTTCCTGGAAAAATTTCAGGAATAAGCACCCCTATCGATTGTGGAAAGCATTTTGTGCATGACTTTATATTGAGAATAACTGTAACAGTTTAACTGATTAATTCCTGGGGCACAGAAATCCGAGTGAGCATTGGTTTTGTCATACTACAGTTGTGCTTTTCGCGTACTGAAGGTTTATCTTTATCTCCCAGTTTTGAAATCCATGTGAAAAATCACGGAATGCTTAATCGATTTACTTTATCTTGTTTCCCCTTTGTTGGGGACTGACCAGATAGCTGTGAGCAGTTTTCATATCCCTTCCCGGATACGAAAAACGAACTTTCCAACCATAGATTTTGTCCACGGATTCGTACAATCAACAGAAACCCCGTGATCGATGATAAGGGTTTCTTGTGTGCCATGATTTGGTTTAGCCTTTCTAAGCTACTGATCGTAGATACCGGGTATTTTTGTGATACAATTCCTCTGTACGTTTTTTCACATTCTTCATGCTTTTGGTTGAATGCAGTTTCCCATTTGCTCCATAAGAGAACATAAGACAATTCATTAAAACGTCGACGCCATGGAGAAGAGCTTTATTAATCGAACCTACGTCTAATAATTATTGCGCTCTTCAAATACCAGTCACACTGACATGTTTCTGGTACACTGGTATGATTGTCATGAGGTGTTTTGCAATTGATGACCCCGGGTTACGTGTGACCATCTGATTACTAGACATAGGTTGCGTCATTGATTTCACTAACCACTTTGGAATGTGTTCGGCCATCCGCTGTGATAATTGACGGTTGGTTCTGCTTACGTATGCGTCACCGCAACTGCAGGTGAACTGGTATACAGTGTGTGAGATAGAATCGGACTGCCAAACATGCACACGAGTAGAGGTGATAAGTCAGAGTTGAGCAGCTGAGAATGTGCGGCTGAGAGCCGACTTTAAATTTGACGCACATCGTTCAGAAGTTGATCGCTCTTGAAAGATGGTTTGATGTAAACGGCTTTCTGGGGAACAGTTGGTGATGCGTTACCCTTTTGGGATTGTCTACCATGGAAATGAATGGATCTTTCGGGGTAACCGTTTCGAAGCAATGTTTGCTTCAGGAATTCTTCTTCATCTCGTAGTGTGTCTGGGGAACAAATGCTTCTGGCTCGATGGAACAGAGCTTTTACGAGTCCACGTTTGTAAGCCATGGGTGAGAAACTAGAGAACTGTAAATATTGGCCACTCTATGTTGCTTTTCTGTGGATAGAGCGCCGTAATGCATCATCCGAGCGCCTCGTAATTCTGATATCCAAAAATGATAAGGAATCGTCGCTTTCTTCTTCATGGGATACGGAAAGATTTGGATGAATAGAGTTGATCTATGTTTTTTTAATTCTAATAGCCCCTGTCTAACTGTGCATGTCCGTTCTCTATGATTTACAAATTCAATGTGCTATAAATGTGCTCGTTTGTTTTACGTCAGCGATTGAGAAGAATAAACGAAATGTTAACATCTCGCGATATATGTCTTCTTTCGGTCTTGATACGATGGATAAAGGGGACCCAGTGTTTCAAATTTCTAAAGCGAAGACTCCTCGCTTCTATCACGCGAGGACTTGATCGTTTGCTCACATTGCGCTGTGAAACCATTGTTGAACGAACACGTGTTCAGTTCTACAAGGACTGTGTATGTTCTGGACAATTTCCACGCCAATTCTCGAAGTTACTTGTGAAGGAGAAATTGCAAGTGAATACAACTAATCTGATACGAATCGCAACATCTCACATGGATACATCACTCAATTTAATGAACAAGTTCATTGAAACACAACAACGATATATTCCTCTACTACGTGATCTCAACTTGGTATGTAGAATTAAACTAGAAAACTTTTCCAATTCAACTCTTCAAAAGACAGAAGAAAGAACAATCAGAAAATTGCTCAGTACAATCCCACGAAAGCTTTCATCCGTGTCTTCCGTACAATCGTCTGAACATATATACATATACAACTTAACATCCACCACATTCACACAAACACAAATGGATGTTTTATCACTTGAGATGAAGTTTCAGATTCCACCAAGGAAAATTGACAGTTTTCAGAATCAAGTTCAATTCGAAAACTTCTATGATCAGCTGAAGGACCTTTCACCCACATCAACAGAAAATGCCGGGTGGTCCCGTGCAAAAATGGTGGATATTTCTCACTCGTACCATGCGGCACCGATTCGGCAACAGAGCTGTCTCACTTCTGAACACTTTAAGGCAATACGAGAACTGAAACGTATGCCCGATCTTAGATTCCTCAAACCGGACAAAGGATCTGGTACAGTGATTATGACCAGGGACAGTTATATAAACAAAATGAAAGAAATACTAATGGACGAGAGCAAGTTTCAAATGGACAAGACACCGGATAACAACCACCTCACTGAAAACCTAATCGCAAGAAAACTACAAATTCTGTTACTACATGGCTACAAATCCGAAACGCAGTACAAACAACTGAAGCCAATGGAAAAAGAAACACCACAAATGAGAGGCTCTCCTAAAGTTCATAAACCTGGGACACCTCTCAGACCAATTTTGTGTATGCATAAATCGCCTATCACAAGCTCGCTCGATGGCTGGTGGAAATTCTAAATCCAGTTCGTAAGTCTTTAACACCCCATTGTTTAAAAGATTCCTTCGAACTATCCAAATGTTTCGAAAACTTGACAATATCTTCACAACGTATGTATTCGATAGACGTGGATTCCCTTTACACCAATGTTCTGCTCCATGAGACAGTTGACTTTTTATGTAATTATAATTTTTCCCTTGCTATTCCTCTTGAATACTTAAGAGAACTAATATTGTTATGTACCGAAAACATTTGTATTGAATTCGAAGGAGACACGTACAAACAGGTTGGTGGCGTGGCCATGGGCAGTCCGTTAGGCCCAATTCTAGCCGATGTATTCTTAAGAATGATTGAACAAAATCTTGCCAATAATATCTCCCAGTCCAGTTTGTACAGACATTACATGGACAATATTTTTATTCTTATAGAGCATGAACAAATTACGACCTTTTTCAGACAATTTACTTCTATTCATCCAAATCTTTCCGTATCCCATGAAGAAGAAAGCGACGATTCCTTATCATTTTTGGATATCAGAATTACGAGGCGCTCGGATGATGCATTACGGCGCTCTATCCACAGAAAAGCAACATAGAGTGGCCAATATTTACAGTTCTCTAGTTTCTCACCCATGGCTTACAAACGTGGACTCGTAAAAGCTCTGTTCCATCGAGCCAGAAGCATTTGTTCCCCAGACACACTACGAGATGAAGAAGAATTCCTGAAGCAAACATTGCTTCGAAACGGTTACCCCGAAAGATCCATTCATTTCCATGGTAGACAATCCCAAAAGGGTAACGCATCACCAACTGTTCCCCAGAAAGCCGTTTACATCAAACCATCTTTCAAGAGCGATCAACTTCTGAACGATGTGCGTCAAATTTAAAGTCGGCTCTCAGCCGCACATTCTCAGCTGCTCAACTCTGACTTATCACCTCTACTCGTGTGCATGTTTGGCAGTCCGATTCTATCTCACACACTGTATACCAGTTCACCTGCAGTTGCGGTGACGCATACGTAAGCA